AGGTGGCATCCCCATCTCTTAAGAGAGAGAGAGAGAGAGAGAGAGAGAGAGAGAGAGAGATTACCAAATCCACCGGTGTTGCCAAAGCTCAATGTATAGGGATTAGGGAGATGAGTTCACGATCTGCGAAGGAGATCATATGCAGGTTTTAGGGGTTTTATTTGTAAATTTCATATTTAAGCAGGGTACTTAGGCAAAAGTATTACTTTTCATAATGCATATACACAGTTTTCATAATGCACACATTTCTGAAGGAACGTGGGAATTTCAGATTGTTATAAAGAAGATACCTTCCTCAATTCTTCTTATGCCTTCTGCAATTATTTTCAAGCCAAGATGCCTGGATCTAACGTCGGAAACGACAGTGGTTACAGATCTCCTCTTCACTGTCCTAAAGCAAGCTGTATTCTATTTTGTCCCTAAAGAGTAAAAACTAATATTAGAATAGAAGTGTCAACTAGTATCAATCTTCCAACTCTCAGGATTTGGGTGACTCTCTATAGCTTGGCAACAAAGAAACAATATGGATAAACAGGTTTCGCTAAAGGAAAACCTTGTGCCTCAGCCAAATATCAAAGTTTGGTTCTGGTTCCAATATCATTCAACCAGTTCTGGTTTATTCCAATTTGGGTCGAACTTAAGAGCTGGTGCAGAATCCCAGAGCTAGATCAGAACTGGCTGAATCGAACTAACCCATAAATAGACCTGGGTCGAACTTGAGCTGGTGCAGAATCGAACCAGAACCGAGACAGACACTAACGAAACAACTTCTACTCTGGCCCTAAACCCAGATATTTCAGAATCGAAATCTAAACCTTAGACCAGAATCGAACGTAAACCCTAGTCTGAGCGTTAAACCAAATCGATATTACAGAACCGTTAAGTACGAAAATCAACGGAAACTCACCTTAAGCCGCGTGAGAAACAGAGGCGTGCTGGGTGAAAGAGAGAGACGTGACTCGATCCGTTGCGACGAACAGAGAGAGTAGAGATTTGATCGAAGACTCGATCGCACCAATTTACACAAGGGCTACTACTCCCTGAGTAATAGAAAAGGAATTAATATGTGACAATCACAAAAAAGGAAATTTTTTATATTTATCTATTAGCCCCTACAAAAATATTTAAATTTATAAAATTCTTCTAAATTCCTATACTTAATTAATTCGGAAACACTTTTCAATTATAAACACCGATGTAGTTCAATGAACAATCTATTTCATCGCCATGTCAACTTCATTTCATTTTCATCAAAATGTATCAATGTCAGTAATCAATAGAAAAAACGGCGTATAAATACACGTACTTATAGAAAAATTCAAATAAATATAGAAATTTTTAAATTTTCGAAAACAAAATTTGAACTTTTTTTTTTAACTTCTTCATCAAAATAAACTTTGAAACACTTCCCAAAAATCACCAAATCATGATGGCATTTCAGAATCTTTAAAAGTTTATACTTTAATTTCATGTCAAACTGTTTAAAAATTCATGATTTATTTTCATTATTTTTAAAACAGTGTATGCATTTATTTGAGAGTTAAGCAGAGTTTATGTATGTATATGAATTTTTTGTACACGTATTAATATGATATTTTCCCTAATTAAACATAATATTTTAAAAAAGAAAATTAAAAAATTATATATATACACACACATATGTATATAATATATATTAGAGCTACTCACTTCCGTCTCAACCTAGTCGCCTCCGCTAGCCGCCCCATACGAGACTCAGACTAATCTCTTCATCCTTTGCCTAAACATCATGGTCGATGGTGCCACCACTGCTCCCTCCCGCGACGAGGCTCGATCCTCTGCAGCTAACGAAACAACGCCGATATTCGATCCGGAGCAGTCGGACCGTGTGTTAGTCTGGGTGAACATGTCGAATATCACCAAACTCGCGTCTTCCAACCTGGAATGTACAATTATCTACACTTCTTCAAGGTTATTCACGCTCATTTGTAGGTTCCGTCGGCTACAATGATTGTTGACGGGATATATCATCCTGACCCTACTCCAAGTAATAGGACTGCCTCCTGTTTTCTGTTTTTTCTCGGCGTCGTCTCTGTCCCGCTTCTGTTCATGATTGTTCGGGCTTTATTGGTTTGTCATCTTGATTGTAAAGAGCGCGACGCACATGGATGGACATAAGGGCTCTAAAATCGGGCCATCTAATCTAATGGTTGCGGATAGACCGAAAAGATCGTATGCCAATTTATATAGTTTTAGTTCTCTTATGATATTAGTTTCCAATACATTCAAAGACACCTCTCATACAAGTAGAATCTTGATTACTGTAACGGATATTTAGGTTTAGAAAATAGCCAGTAACATGTAAATGTCGATGAAGGTGGCATCCCCATCTCTTACCAATACACTGAATAGTTTACCTTATATTTACAAACGGCAACAAACAACCGGTGAAATAACCATCCATATAAAACATATGCATCTAATAACCACATCACCTCTGCATAGTAGTCCTCTTGGCTTTGAAGAACCTCTTTCTGATTGATACTAATTCCTCAACAGCCTCAACAATGGCCGTTCTATTGGCCGGAGATTCTTCTGAACACCTGATTCCCACGTCGAGAACCATTCCCAAGCATTCAGCCATGGCAGCACGTTCCATACGAGCACCTGAGGAATTAACCATAATTTATTTACAAAAAGGGATAAAAATACCATTGTAAATAATATTATCAGATAAGATCCTACCAGCGTTGTACAAAATAGATGGATCTACGATATCCGTCACACGTGCTGGTAATGATGATCTTGTATGGTTATGGATAGTGAAATCCTCGGAAAATAATTCATCTGTAGGTCTTTTCCCTGTGAACATCTCCAACACGAGGACTCCAAAGCTGTAAACATCACCCATTACCGACGGTTCACCTCCCATCCCATACTCTACATCGCAAAAAGGAAGAGAAATACTATCTTATTTCTTCTTTAAAATTTTGTTAGGTGTGCGTGTAGTGAGCATAATAATGTACCTGGTGGCATGTAACCGATGGTTCCTCTTATGTTGGCAGAGCTAAATTGGTTCTGAGATGCTTCTTGATCAAATTTTCCGAGGAGCCGGGCCAACCCGAAATCACTTACATGGGCTGTGAGATCATCATCCAGAAGAACATTGCTCGGTTTTAGATCACAGTGAGTAATGGAGCTGTGGCAATAACAATGAAGATGGACCAAAACCGAGGCCACATCTATGGTGATGTTAAGTCTTTCAAGAAGGTTCAGAGTTCTCGTGGGATTGCTCGTCCCGGCTTCTACTTCTTGTGGATGCAACCACGTATCCAAGTTTCCGTTTGGCATGAACTCATAAACCAGAGCTCTGAATTCATTTCCGTTGAAATCGATGCTGGAACAAACTGTCAATAGTTTCACAAGGTTACGGTGTCGTATACCCTTTAAGGCTTCGCACTCGGCCATGAAGCTCTTAACAGCTCCACTCTTCCAAAGGTTCAAAACTTTAACAGCGACGACCTTCCTCTCGGGACCAAGGAACCCTTTAAACACAGTACTGAAGTAACCTGATCCAATGATATTGGTAGATGAGAAGCCATCGGTTGAATTTTGAAGCTCTTCATAACTTATCCTTTCATAAAAAATATCCATGGCAGAATTAGGCTGACTGTTACCATTGTTTGCTCTGTTTTGTTTCCTCCATTTCTTGAACCAAGAGAGAGAAATCACGGTCAGAAACGATAATAAAAGCAAAGTTATACCCAGGCTAACAAAGATTGCAACTTTCTTATGGGATACGGATTGCCTTCTTCGCGTTGCAGGCATTTGCATAGAGCATGGCTTTAGCTGCAATTCTGGAATTCCTCCACAGAGATTTTTGTTACGAAAGACGGAAATCACACTAGCATTTCGAAATGCTCCGGTCATCGGCACCGCCCCTTCAAAATTATTCATGGATAGATTTAGATACTGTAGTGGGAGGTTCACAAGAAATCCAGGTATGTTGCCAGAGAGACTGTTGTTGGAGAGATCAAGGTAGTGGAGGCCCTTTAACCTTCCAATATATGGGATTGTCCCGTTGAAAGAATTTCCTCGGAGAATAATTTCGTCCATGGAGAGACAGTTTCCTAGAGTTTGAGGTATTTGTCCCGATAATCTGTTGTAAAAAGCTTGTAAAATCATCAAATATTTTAGATTTCCAACGTTTTCTGGCAGAGGACCGACCAGAGAGTTATACGAGACATCTAAAACCACAAGAGATGGAAGGTCCATAAGTTCCCGAGGTATAGTGCCGGTCAGGTGGTTGGAATAAAGCCCAAGATGTTGAAGGAAACTACAGTTGACGAGATTTGGAGGGATTCTCCCCTCAAATTCATTTTTAAACAGAAAGATGGATTCTAATGTGGTCATGTTTCCAAGGAAAGAGGGTAGCTCTCCTGAAAATCTGTTTGATTGTCCTGTGATTTTAACCAACCCAGAAAGCTTTCCGAGGGAAGTAGGAAGCTTGCCTGTCAAACGATTTCTCTCGAAACCAAGTCCTTGTAGGTTTACGAGGTTTCCAACGCCTAGAGGGATGCTTCCGGAGATATAATTTCCTCCAAAGTATAAAAAGGCCATTTGCTTGGAGAGATTTCCTATGGAGACAGGCAAGGCACCTCCGAGTATATTATAGCCAACATCCAAGACTTGCAGCTGCGTGCAGTTAGTCAAACCCCCAAGAAAATCAAGATCAGCGGAAGCATTGTTACCTACACCGTTCTGAGAAAGCCCGAGCCATACCAATCTCTGGTTTCTGCTCAAACTCAAGGGAATACTTCCTCTGAAGTTGTTGTAAGAAAGCTCCAACTGTCGAAGAGTTGAGATATTGGAAAATGGAACAAGAAGCGTTCCCGTGAAATCATTTCCTCCCACAGACAAGAACTGGAGGTCCGGAAAGAGAGTTCCAAAATCTAACCCAACATCACCCGAGAAATTGTTGCTTGCTATGGATATAAACTCGAGCGAAGATAGATTGCGAAAGGCATTAGGAAATGCTCCGGAAAGTTTGTTGCCTGCTAATTGGACAAACACCATTCTGTTCAGTTTGGCAATATTTTCCGGGATCTCATCCCCTTCCATATGGTTAAATGCAATGCTCAACTTCTCGAGCGATGTCAGGTTTCCTAAACCCGGGGGGAGCTTCCCCATCAATTGGTTCTTACTAAGATTTAAAACGATAAGCTTAGATAGTAAACCAAGTTCAGAAGGAACTTTGTATGCAAGACGGTTGAACGACAGATCAAGGCGCAGCAAACTAGAACAGTTGGACAAACCGACCGGGATCCCCCCTCCAAGAAGATTACTGCTCATGTTCAAGTATCGAAGCCTAGACAATTTCCCAACTTCCTGTGGGATGTTTCCGTGAAAAGAGTTGCCTCCAAGATCAAGTGACCTGAGAAATGAGAGGTTACCGACAGAGGGCGAGATCACTCCGGCCAGTTTCATCGATATCAGCCTCAACTGGGTCACTCTTTGGTGCTTGCGGCCACATGTAACGCCGGTCCAGTTGCAGAGATGGAGAGAGCCACCATTCCATGAGGCCAGCGCAGCTCTGCTCCCTCGAGAAAGCTGAGACTTGAACTCGAGCAATGCTTCTTTATCAGACTCGGCCGTATGAGCACTGAACATGAAGAGAGTGTGTAAAGCCATTAAAAGAAACTTCCTCATCCTCGCAAACGAGAATTAAGAGGAACAATTGCCTATACAAACTTCCTTTCTGTTTACGTGTGTTGTATTCTTTCACGAAGACAGTGGTGAAGCTTATGGAGTTGGATATAAAATTCAGAGATTCTCGACCCGTTACTTTCTCCGTCAACTTCTTGGTTGGTGAGGATTATTGTTATTGACCCATGTGCGAAATTTTTGAGGAATATATAAATGACATTTTTAGGGAACCAACAATTTTTAACTATAAAAATATTGAACCATAAATTAATATAAAATGATACTCGGAACTAACAGAAAAATAACTGAGCATACAATAATATCCTTATAAAAAAAGTTCATGCAACACAAGATAAAATTCCTATAACATTTTCGTAAACGAACTAAAAAAAAATCTTACTATAAACATTTTTTTATTATTAATCTCATAAGGAAACAGAACATTTGAATATTTGTTTCAAAACACTTCTCAAATTGCACAAATGTTTTCGGGGCAAAATAAGAGCAAACCTTTAAGATTTCAACTGCACATTTATATTTTGTTTTTAAAGTGCACACCAAGAAATTGCAAGGATTCACAAACCGATCCAACACGGTGGCGATTGCTCGTCTTAAGATTGATAGACGTATAAAGAATATTTTCTTGACTGCTATTGGCCAATGGCGGATCACATCTTTGTCTCTTCTCCAAGATTGGTATTATCTCGAGAATATCTCCCGCTAAATCGTGTAGTCTACTAAGTTAAATCATTGTATACTCAATTATGGGTCTTTTATATACCACTTGTCATGGGTCCCTTATTTTGTTTTCGAACAACAACGGTAAAGTTTTGATATAATTAATTCGATTCACATTTTAATAAAAAAAAAAAAGAAATTGCAAGGAAAGTAGCACACTAAGAAATTGCAAGGAAAGTAGCACACTGATTTGTGTTTTTTTATTGTGTAAATTGATAGACTAAAAGAAAATTGCATTAAGTCAACGTATTGCATTTATTTCTGCTGGCTAATATGGATTGGTGCAAATCATTGTAATGGTCATTCATAAAGTGCACACCAATAAAAAATAGTTGAATACTCCAAAAAAAGAAAGGTTGTTATAAAATAGTATATTGTAAACATATAATTTTTCATTATGAAATACAAAACAAACATTTCAAAAAAAAATCGAATCTTTGAAAAGAATCAACTTTAGGAAATTTTAGCTGCCCCATAAATGCAAGAGGAAATTTGGATGGATACCGTTGTACAATAAAAAAAATAATAGCTATAGAATAGGGACAATTGTAGAAATGGCCTTCATTTTGACTTTAACGGATACCCTCCGTTTAAAAAAAAAAAACACCACAACAACACGTAACCATATAAATGTATCTTTCCCATAATATCCTTCCTTCCTTTAATATTTTTTATAATTAAAAAATCTTATTTTTTTTAATTTCTCTTTCCTCCTTTATCTCTCCTCGAAATCCTCTTTCTTCTCTCATCTCTCAATTCAAAATTTTCATCTACATCTGCAATTAATTTGTTATGCTTAAAACAATGATCAATTTTTTTGGTCCGATCATTTTAAATTTGAAAAATTTGATATATGATATCTATATTGAAAAAGTATTATCAGTTTGACCGGTATGACCGCATGATCAGTTTGATCGGTATGACCGTATGATCAGTCTAATCGATATGACCGTATGACCATTATGATTGTGTGACTATTTGAACACTAAAAATAAAGATCTAAACTAAATTTAAACGATTAAAAAAATTGTATAAGGGTTATAAGAATATTTTTCATTGTTTTGGTGATCTATTTCTAAGTATAAAAAATTAATTCTCAGCATAAGTCATTTATATCCAATGTTTTACATAAATACTAATAGAATAGAATTTATGACTTGTTTTGAAAGAAACTACATTGTAAAAAAGAAGAAGAATGATAAATACCTTTTGTAACGATCCTTTAAAACTTAAAAAATTTGTTATAAGAGTTGATTATTACCATGTTAACACTTTGAATTCGTAAATTCATTAATTTTGATAAAGTATGACCATCTGACCGGTATGACTGTATGACCAGTATGACTGTCTAACCATTCGAACATGAAAAATAAAGGCCTAAATTAAGTTTAAACGATTCGAAAAGTTGTATAGAGGATACAATAATATTTTTTCATCGTTTTGGAGATCTATTTTCATGCGTAAATAAAACAATTCTCAACATAAGTCGTCTATATCCAATGTGTTATATAAACACTAGTAGAACTTGTGACTTGTTTTGAAAGAAACTAAATTATAAAAAAGAATGATCAAACCTTTTTACAACGATCCTTTTAAACTTGAAAAAATTTGTTATAGGAGATGATTATTACTATATTGACACTTTTGAATTCGTAAATTCATCAATTTTGATAAAGTATAATCCTCTGACCGGTATGACCGTATTACCAGTATGATTGTCTGACCATTCGAACACGAAAAAATAAAGGTCTAAATTAAGTTTAAACGATTAAAAAAAGTTGTATATGGGTTACAAGAACACTTTTTCATCGTTTTCGTGATCTATTTTCATGTGTAAAAAAATAATTCTCCATATAAGTCATCTATATCCAATATGTTACATAAACACTGGTAGAACTTATGACTTGTTTTGAAAGAAACTACATTGTAAAAAAAAGAATGATAAATCCCTTTTGCAACGATCCTTTTAAACTTGAAATTTTTTTTATAGGAGATGATTATTATCATGTTGACACTTTTGAATTCGTAAATTCATCAATTTTGATAAAGCATGACCGTATGATCAATATGACTGTCTAACTATTCAAACATGAAAAATAAAGGCATAAATTAAGTTTAAACGATTAAAAAAGTTGTATAGATATTTGTTTATCGTTTTGTTTAAGCGATTAAACGATTAAACGTAAGGGGGAAAGACATAAATAAACCAATAACTTGAGTGTGGGGTAAGGCGTGAGACGTACACCGAGTGAGTCGTTGTATGATGATAGGGGGTAGCGTTGTATGTCATGGATCGATAAGTCGGTGGGAGACCGGGTTTCGTGATACGTATGATTGTAGCGGGATATGAATATGCACGTTGTATGCCATGTTTGTAGCTCACTCGCGCGATGCGAGTCGAGCATGATTGTGTTGGGATTTCGATGTGTCACGAGAAGTGACATCGGTGGTCACGAGAAGTGATACGCGTGTGAAGTGCATATTGTCATGCGAAGCGACGACCAACGTCATGCGATGTGACGGGCGTGAGAGGCGCTCTTAGTCATGCGATGTGACTAGAGTTTATGGCTAACCCTATGGTGCGAAGCCATACGGGACTTGATTGTCGCGCGAAACGACGACCAATGTCATGAGATGTGGCGGGTGTGAGAGGCGCTCCTAGTCATACGATGTGACTAGGGTTTATGACTAACCCTATGGTGCGAAGCCATACAGGACTTGACTGTGGTGCGAAGCCATACAGGACTTGACTGTGGCGCGAAGCGATGATCAACGTCATGAGATGTGACGGGCGTGAGAGGCACTCCTAGTCATGCGATATGATTAGGGTTTATGGCTAACCCTATGGTGAGAAGCCATACGGGACTTGATTTTCGCGCGAAGTGATGGCCAACGTCATGAGATATAACGGGCATGAGAGGCGCTCCTAGTCATGTGATGTGACTAGAGTTTATGGCTAACTTTATAGTGCGAAGCCATACATACTTGATTGTCGTGTGATGTAGGGCTGGGCATTTTTACCCGAGACCGCGGGTTTTCGGGTACTCTATCTCACGGGTACCCGAGAATCATTACTCGTGAGATAATAAGATAGAGGTCGGATTCCGTGAGACGAAAAACCCGATTTTTGGGTTTGGGTTCGAGTTTGGATACTGTACGATGGGTTACTCACGGGTACCCGATAAAATAAAAAAATTACTAAAATACCCTTAATTTTTAACATATTTACCAAAATACCCCTTTCTCTAATAACCTTAATTCATGTCTTTACTCTCAGTTATGTCCGCCACTTTTTTTTTGGGTAACTTTTTGGCCTCCTCTCTCTGCAGAAGGAGAGATCGCCATGCTTTCCCTGTCCTTGCGAGATTCGTTCGGTCTTATCTTCGTCGTGCTCTCCTTCAGCTCGTCTCCGTCGTGCTCTCCCTCGATTTTGTCATCGTGGTAAGTTTTCACCCTTTCTCCTTCTCTGTTGACCGAGCTTCTCTTTACCTTGCTCTCCTTTATCCTTCACTATTCGATTCTTTTTTGTTACAGATTCTTCTTTGTTCGCTCTATTCGACCGAGCTCGCTCTACCATGAATTTTCAACTCAGATACGCCGTGAAACCTCTTCCTCATTACAGTTTCTTCATCAATATCCGGGTTTGGGTCTCGCGGGTACCCGATCTCGTATCTAGGGTACCCGAATCATGGGTACCCGGACTTCGTGAGATAGAGATTGCGACATTCTAAACAATAACCCGACAAGACCGAGACCAAGACAAAGACACCCTAAAATGTCTGGTACCCGCCCGTGCCCACCTCTAGTGTGATGTGACGGCCAACGTCATGTGATGTGACGGGCATGTGATGCGCTCCTGGTCATGCGAGGTGACCAGGGTTTACGGCTAGCCCTATGGCGTGAAGCCATATGGACATAAATGTGATTGTGTTCTGATGTGAGATGAGTATATGTTTAATGTTGAATATTATATTTTGTATTTTATCGTTTTAACATCGTTCTCGCTGAGTTCAACGTGGGTCATTCACTAAGCAGTGGTGTTTAGCCCTCGTGGTTTCACCTTTTTCAGATCACGAGGAGTACAAGTAGCGCACTTGGGGTGACGAAGACTTCGAGGAGACAACATCGTGTACGAGGGTTTCCTTCTCTATATGTTTTGAACTATGGAACACGGTTCCTACGCTTTTACATTTGCACTCTTTTTAATTCGGACATGTGTATTTTAATACTTAACTGCTGTTTAATTCCGCTGCGTGATTAATATTAAAACGGTTTTAAAATTTCCGTATTTTGGTTTATCATTATTTTATTAGTTTTAATCCATGTGACACATCATGTTACGGGAATCGGGATACGGGAGTTACAATGACCGTATAACCATTTGAACACGATAAATTCATCAATTTTAAAAAAGTCTAACTGTCTGACTAAGATCTGACTGTATGACCAAAGTATAACTGCATGACCGTCTGACCAAAGTATGATTGTATGTCCGTCTGAGCAAAGTATGGCCGTCTGACCGCTTGTGCATAAAAAAGAAAGGCCTAAATTAAGTTTAAACGATTCAAAACGTTGTATAAGAATTATAATAATACATTTTCATCATTTTAGTCATTTAATTCCATGTGTATGAATAGTATAATTGGTATGACCAAAATCTGATCGGTATGACCAGTATGACATTTCGAGAATCAAAATTGCTTTGAGTATTTTCATCGAATACTTTCCATACATTATCAAAATCTTTAACTTTGGAGTGTCGAATTTCGCTGTAGAGGAGAAATTTGACGAATGTAAGTTTAAATGATATTGTCCCATCAAATCAAAATCCCAATAAACCATAAAATTCTATATATGAAGAACATATTTGCTCTAACACTTTTAAATTCATAAATTCATCATTTTTTAAAAAGTCTGACTACTTTGATCGGTATAACCGTAAGACCAGTCTGGCGGTAAGACCGTCTGAGCAAAGTTTAACCGTCTGACCAAAGTCTGAACGGTATAACCACTATTATGTTTTGGGTAAATTAGAGCAAAAATTCTCTGAGGACTTTCATCGAATACTTTCTATACATTATCAAATTCTTTAACACTTTCGAACAACTCCTTTTTGTTGTTTCAACAGATGCTGTCACGTGTCTTTATTTTTAAGGGTATCTTTTTTTATATTTTGTTTTTTTCTTCTATAAAACCCTAAACCTAAGAGGTGACATTTAAAGTCATTTTTACAATATTGCCTATAGAATAGTCCTACATATTTTTTTGGGTTTTTCTATAGGATTTGCTTTTGATTCGGATTCGAATTCATATTCGGTTTTTATATAGAAGTCTGTTTGATTCGATTTCGTTTCAAATTCGATTTTTATGTAGAGTCACGTTCGATTCATATTAGATTTAAATTCGGTTTTTATATAGGATTTCGTTCGATTTGTATTCCTTAAGAGTTCATTTGATTCGTTTTCGATTCAAACTGATTTTTACATAGGATTTTCTATTTGGATTCGTTTTCTTTAATATATGATTCTTGTCCGATTCCGATTATAAATCGAATTTGGTTTTGGATAATATTAAGTGGAAAAATGAGTTAATTGGGTTGAAACAATTTAACCTGATGATTAAACACAACTCAAATAAACGATCCAAAACATAGTTATTACCTGACCCAATTTTAATTTTCAAGTACTAATGGAGAACCATATCTATGCAAAACCGACATTCCCTCGTAGATTCTAACCTCTCCACGTGGCACAACTTGAGAAACTTTCACAGCTGAATTTGAAAAGACACGACGAGCAACTTGAGAAGACACGTATTGATTGAATTGCGTTGTGGATGAGAATATGGCAGAGAATAGACTATACTTTCTTATTTTCTTTTTTGAAAATTTCGAGAAAAAAAATGAACATTTTAAATTTGATAAATAAATATATGGGATAACAAACAAAAGGGAAAAAAATAAAAAAGAAACTTTCAATTGTTAAATGACAGTTTTACCCTTAATCAAACCCTCTGCGCGAGTCAGAATCTTCGCAGTTGTTCCTCTAATTTTTCAGAACCAATCCAGAATTCTGGTCTAATATGCAGCGTTTTTTCTTCCTAAGGACTCAAATGTTGATACCGAATCACAAATCTCAGATTGTGACAAAGAAATTGGAGTAAATTTCTCATTTGTCTCCCCCGAATGGAAAACAACCGTTATTACATATCAACACACACAAAAGACGAAAACATAACGAAAAACCAAAAAACAGCAACACAACATTAACAAACGGGAAACGACAATGTCAATAGGCATTTTGTGAACGAAGCATCACGTCATCACTGCCTAGCCGCCCTCTTGGCTTTGAAGAACCTTTGTTTGGGCCATTATCAGTGTCCCCCCGAACCAAAAAAAAAAAACTAGCCGTTCTTACAACATACGACGCATCACAACGTCACTGCTTGACTGCCCTCTTCGCTTTGAAGAACCTCTTTCTGATTGAAACTAATTCGTTAAGAGCCTTGACGATGGCCGTCCTGTTCGTCGGAGATTCTTCAGAACACCTGATTCCCACGTCGAGAACCATTCCCAAGCACTCGGCCATGGCATCACGGCCCATACGAGCACCTGACATATGAACTATTAAAAAAAAGGTAAATTACCGTTGTAAATTACAAGAAGTGTGAAATCATCTTTCAGATAAGACAAAGGGCCTCTTCTCTTTTTGGTTTATGGGTGACCCTTAATATTATCAGGCACGACCATACCTGCATTCACCAGAATAGAACGGTCTACGATATCCATCGCATGCTCCGGTAATGCTGATCTTGTATGGTTATGGAGAGTGAAATCCTCGGAATATAATTCATCCGTAGGTCTTTTCCCTGTGAACATCTCCAATACGAGGACTCCAAAGCTGTAAACGTCACCCATTACCGACGGTTCACCTCCCATTCCGTACTCTACATCACAAAAAGGAAGAGAAATGCTGTCTTATTTCTGCATGAAAATTTTGTAAGGTGTGCGTGTACTGAGCATAATAACATACCTGGTGGCATGTAACCGATGGTTCCTTTGATGTTGGCAGAGCTAAATTGGTTCTGAGATGATTCTTGATCAAATTTTCTGAGGAGCCGGGCCAACCCAAAATCACTTACATGAGCTGTGAGGTCATCATCCAGAAGAACATTGCTTGGTTTTAGATCACAGTGAGCAATGGGGCTGTGGCAATAACAATGAAGATGGACCAAAGCCGAAGCCACATCTATGGTGATGTCGAGTCTTTCAAGAAGGTTCAGCGTTCTCGTGGGATTGCTCGTCCCGACTTCTGCTTCATTCGGATGCAACCACGTATCCAAGCTTCCGTTCGGCATGAACTCATAAACCAGAGCTCTGAATTCATTTCCGTTAAAATCGATGCTGGAACAAACAGTTAATAGTTTCACGAGGTTACGGTGTCTTATACCCTTTAAGGTTTCGCACTCGGCCATGAAGCTTTTGGAAGCTCCACTCTTCCAAAGGTTCAAAACTTTAACAGCGGCAACCTTGCTCTTGGGGCCGAGTAACCCTTTAAACACAGTCCCAAAATAACCCGATCCGATGATATTGCTTGACGAAAAGCCAACGGTCGCATTTTGAAGCTCTTCATAACTTATCCTTTCATAAAAAATATCTATGGCCGAATTAGGCTGAGTATTATCATTATTTGCTCTGTTGTGTTTCTTTCTTTTCTTCATCCGGTAGAGAGAAATAACAATCAGAAAGGATAATAAAAGCAATGTTGTACCTACGCTAACAACGATTGCCACTTTCTTATGGACCAAGGATTCCCTTGTTGGTTTTGTAGGCATTTGTACAGAGCATGGCTTTAGCTGCAATTCTGGAATACCTCCACAGAGATTTTTGTTACCAAAGACGGAAATCGCACTAACATTTCGAAATACTCCGGTCATCGGCACCGCTCCTTCGAAATTATTCATGGACAGATTTAGATATTGTAGTGAGGAGTTCACTAGATATCCAGGTAATATGCCGGAGAGGCTGTTGTTGGATAAATCAAGGTAATGGAGGCCGGTTAACCGTCTTATATCTGGGATTTCTCCATCCAAGGAATTTCCTTGGAGATCGATTTCTTCCAAGGAAAGACAGTTTCCTATTGTGTGCGGTATTTGTCCCGATAATCTGTTGTATGCTGCTTGTATTTCAACCGCATATTTCAGATTTCCGACATTTTCTGGCAAGGGACCGACCAAAGAGTTGTATGAGATATCTACCATCACAAGAGATGGAAGGTCCATAAGTTCCCGAGGTACAATGCCAGTCAGCTGGTTAGACTCAAGCCTCAAAAAGTGAAGGTCACTGCAATTGCCAAGACTTGGAGGGATATTTCCATCAAATCGATTATTATACAAATCGATATATTCAAGTCTACTCATATTTCCAAAGAAAGATGGTAGATTTCCAGAAAATCTATTTGAATCTCCGTCGATACTAACCAATCCAGAGAGCTTTCCGAGGGAAGTAGGAAGTTTGCCAGTCACACGATTCCTTTCAAACTCAAGTAGTTGAAGGTTGACGAGGTTTCCGATACCAAGAGGAATACTTCCCGAGATAAAATTCCATCCGAAGTAAAAATATGTCATTTGTGTTGAGAGATTTGCTATGGAGACAGGCAATGAACCTCCGAGTCTGTTATCGAAAATGCCCAAGACTTGCAATTGTGTGCAGTTAGTCAAACTTCCAATAAAATCAAGATCAGTGGAAGCGTTGTTGCCAAGTCTATTTCCATCAAGCCCAAGCGATACCAAGTTCTGGTTTTTGCTGATACTCAAGGGAATACTTCCTGTGAAGTTGTTGTAAGAAAGACGTAAATATTGGAGAGTTGAAATGTTGGAAAATGGAGCAGCAAGTGTTCCGGTGAAATGATTTCTTCCCATGTACAATGCTTGCAGATTCGGAAAGAGAGTTCCAAAATCTAATCCAACATCACCCGAGAAATTGTTGCTTGCTATGGATATATGCTCAAGAGAAGATAGATTGCGAAAGGCATTAGGAAACACACCAGAAAGTTTGTTTTCTGCTAATTGGAGAAATATCATTCTGTTCAGTTTTGCAATACTTTCTGGGATCTCCCCTTCCATATGGTTATATGCAAGGTTCAACTTCTCGAGCGATGTCAGGTTTCCTAAACCCGGGGGGAGCTTCCCCATCAATTGGTTCTGAAGAAGATTTAAAGCGGTAAGCTTAGATAGTGAACCAAGTTCAGAAGGAATGCTGTATGTAAGGCGGTTGAAGGACAAGACTAGGGCCAACAAACTAGAACAGTTGGACAAACTGCTCGGAATTTCCCCTCCAAGAAGATTACTGCTCATGTCCAAGTAACGAAGCCTAGACAATTTCCCAAGTGCCGATGGGATGTTGCCATGAAAAGAATTGTTCCGAAGATAAAGTGACCTGAGAAACGAGAGGTTACCAACAGAGGGTGATATCACTCCGGCCAGTTTCATCGACATCAGCCTCAACTGGGTCACTCTTTCGTGCTTGCGGCCACATGAAACCCCTGTCCAGTTGCACAGATGAAGAGAGCCACCATTCCATGAGGCCAGCGCAACTCTGCTCTCTCGAGAAAGCTGAGACTTAAACTCGAGCAATGCTTCTTTATCAGACTCGGTCGTATGAGCACTGAACATGCCCGTAACTTGAAGCAACGTGAAGAGAGTGTGTAACGCCATTAAAAGAAACTTCCTCATCCTCTCAAACGGCGGGTAAAAGCACAGAGAGTAAGAGGAACGATTGTTTTCTTCTTCTGGTATATATCTTTCTTTATCATTCTCAGTTGAATATAAAATGGCATTCGTTTCTTTTGTACATATCACTTGTCATTGCCACCAATGAAGAGTCACAAATTTCCAAAACATATTGACTTGACTTACTCAGTCAACGTTTGTGGAGTTGACTTGACTTAATCGTTTTGCATATCAGTGTTCACTTTTATTCAAAACTCAAACTCTAAGCTAATAAACATAATTTAGATGTAATTTTGTCCGTTTTGGAGATATGTGGAATCCTAGTTTTATATGTAAATTTATAAAAAAATATTTTCTATTGATTACATTATGTATTTATATGAAATTACATAATATGAAATAACAGAAAAATAACTGAGCATATCGACGAAAAAACGTGCAAAACCACTTTTATCAAGAAGTGGTGGTAACAATGAGGCTAATGTACTAGATGTCAAAATGAGTCGTGAGCCAGACCATATTTTTTGATCTAGACTGAGAAATTTTGAGCCAAAAAAATATCAAACGAGCTAGCTCACCACGAACTTGATTCATAGCGAGTCAGTTCGGCGAACCCATAAGCTGGTTCCGGAGTCAAAAAAAAAAATTTTATTTTTTATTTTTTATTTTTTTTAAATAATTTTAAAAAGATTTATCAAATTCAAATATTTTTTATTATTTTAAAATATATTAATTATTATTTTGTAATTATTTTTGTAATATTTTTTATTTATATCTAATATTTTTATTTTTCGAATAATCTGGTCTGAGTCTTAAATTTTTTCGATCTGAATAAAAACAAACTTAATGAACTGAACTAAAAATGAGGCGACTGGTACGAACTGATCGGATCTGGTTCGCGCTGACTTGTTCGCCCTGCTCCATACTCACCACATATTGTTAAAAAAAATTTGAATAGGAGTGGACTCCACTTGTTTTGGAGTTTTCTATAATAATTTTCTTCTGTATAAAGAGATTATTTTTTTGATAATTTTTTTGAGAGTTTACTCTTCATTTTCTGAGATTTTATCTTTTCTATTATAAAAAAAATTACTATTGTTCCCTCTTTATATAGAAAGATGTGTTGTAATTATTTGACAATCGATATATATCCTTTTATCGTTCGTCCATGGACATAAACATTTTGCCGAACCATATAAATTTTTAGTGTCCTACTATTTATTTTCTCCGTATCAATTGAGTGGTCTAACAGTAATCTATCCAGATCCGATCTTAAATTTGGTATCATACTGTTGGGATTTATTTTTGTTGATAAAATAGGGAATTTCATTACTTAATAATGTAACACAAACAATGAGTTTTTTGCACCTATCCAGGGGTGAAAAACCAAAATAGACTTTGACATCGGAATCCATCTGATCTATTGGTTAATAATTTTTCCGATTGACGACCAAAAAAAAAGATGAGTAGAACAAAATCAAAATCAACTCCAAGTATCACTCAAACCATCTTTGTAACATTTCTGATGCTAAATCTGACTTTTCTTACGTAAATTGGTTGCCATCGGTCGAAGAGTACTGTCATATACTTGAAAGATGGAGTCCACATCTGACAAGGTAGAGTCATGAACTCGAGAACGACTTAGAGCTCGTGATAGGGAATGGCCGCCATGTTATTTAGGCGGCAAATCTAAACTCGTGAGAGTTAGATTCTAACCGAGAGTGTTAATGTGATTAGGAGAAACTCTTTCACATCGGGAGATGGGTAGAGCGGTATTCTAGATAGGGAATCTAGGTATTAGGGAGAGCTAGATTCTGTGGAAATACTTGAATCCACCATTCAAAGTAAATAAGTTGGTTTTATGACCCTTCTAACCCATTCATACTTGTCTACGAAATCATTAACCCACAACGTTTTCATGTATTAGACTTTTGCCGTATTATTTGATTTTCTATAACTCCGGCTTAATTTAGAAAACTCGATCGTTCAATTTTCCAACCCCGACCTGGTAGAAGAAAGAGATCAACACACCTATTCCCTGTGTTTGACCTCGGTATAACAACCTCCGTACACTTGTAGTGTGTTATGTATCGGGTATAAGTTTAAAACCCAGTCACTTAGAGACCAAAATCAATCCAAAAATTGTCCTAAATCAATCAAAATCAATCCATAAACTCCTATTTACAACCACCAAAATTATCTACAAGTCTATGAAAAGATGAAAACAACAACCACCACCACAACAACAATGTCTTTGACCTAAATTCAATTGGCCACGAGTGATTGGTAATGATTTGAAATGTTTTCAAATTTCGGAGGATTTAACTCAACACTGAAATGAACGCCGCCTATGCATGAGTTCGCTTAAGCCCAAATTGGTGGAGGGTTGTGGTAGGCGGCGATCAACGTAAATGTCTCCTATTTTCTCCTATTCTCCTCTACTTAAGAAGATAATAACCTAAAAAACATCAAATCCACAACATCACCTACAGCAAAACAATGTCTGCTATTCTCCTCTACTTATACGTTTACTGCAACCAAATCAGACATCAAGCATGTAGAAACCGAACTCCCGAAACGATGTTTTGATTTTCAAACCAAAAACCAAAGACAAAGATCGAGAAACATTTTCGAAACTTTCATAAAACTTTCTGCCTCGACACACATTTTCGGTGTCTTTACTCTTTATTTATAACCAAAAATATCAACAACTACATCCTACAAAATGGGAACGTGCAAACATGACCAAGTTTTCCGAGAAGAACCATAAGACTCGGTCATTTACAAACAAACTAATTTTGAAAACTTCAAACAACACAACACGTGTACTTCAAATGACAAGCTTACTTCCAACATTCTCCCCCGTAAGCTTGTTCCACCGACTTCAAGTGCAATTTTAACCGTGTCGGCACAACACTCTTCTCCTCCTTCACTTTGTCTTCTTTCCGGAGTTGTTCCTGCTTCTTCTTCTTTCCGAAACTTTTCCCGATCCATTTCTTTTCCGAAGCTTTTCTTGCTCCATCTTCTTCATCTTTCTGGAGCTTTTCTTACTCCATCTTCTTTTTGAAAAATATTGGATTCTACGACGACACTCCGTCGTTCTCCAACACGAACTGCAACGACACTCCGTCGTTATCCGCAGCACTGACACTCCGTCATTCTCTTGCATGCACTGCAACGACATTCCGTCATTCTCCCGCAACATTGCAACGACGTCCCGTCGTTCTCTCACATGTACTGCAACGACACCTCGTCGTTCTTCCGCAGCATTGCAACGACACTCCGTCGTTCTCCCATATGCACTGCAACGACACTCCGCCGTTCTCCGCAGACACTTCAACGACACTCCGTCTTTTTCCTCATACATCGATCAACACCGTTGTCGTTCCCTGAATCGCAACCGCGCTCTGATACCACATGTAGAAACCGAACTCCCGAAACGATGTTTTGATTTTCAAACCAAAAACCAAAGACAAAGATCGAGAAACATTTTCGAAACTTTCATAAAACTTTCTGCCTCGACACACATTTTCGGTGTCTTTACTCTTTATTTATAACCAAAAATATCAACAACTACATCCTACAAAATGGGAACGTGCAAACATGACCAAGTTTTCCGAGAAGAACCATAAGACTCGGTCATTTACAAACAAACTAATTTTGAAAACTTCAAACAACACAACACGTGTACTTCAAATGACAAGCTTACTTCCAACAAAGCACACACAATTACAACAGACACTACCACGATGTCTGGTCTGGATCTAACGTCGATCAAGACTGCGATTTCAGATCTCTTCACTGTCCTAAAACTGCTGGACTTTGGATAGACTTCAACGATTGGGAGGTAAAAAAGAACTACGGATAAGAAATCGAACCAGAACCAACCAGAGCCGGAGCAGAACTAACCCATAGACAGACCTGGATCGAACTTGAGCTGGAGCCGAATCGAACCAGAACCGAGAAAGATACAAACAAAACAACTTATACTCTGTACCAGAATCGAAATCTAAACCCTAGCGTGAACATTAAACCAAATCGATATGACAGAGAACATGAAATCAATAGAAACTCACCATAACCGCGCGTGTGGGAGAGAGAGGTGCTGCGACGGATACAAGGAGTAGAGATTTTATGGAAGACTCCATCGCATCGGCTGGATGCGACACACCAATTTATAAAAGGCCACTGTCCGTGAATGAACAGAAAAAAGGAAAACGATGTGTGTTGCGTGTGCGTATATACGTACAGGCTCCGTATTGGTAGGATGTGACACGATCGGCTTAACCTTGAAACATTCTTAATCTTCTCGACGAAGTGACCCGATGGTGTTGCTGATACATGACACGATCCGGTTAACTTTTGAAACTCGTTTTCTTTAAGTTTTTTCCAATCTTTTTTCCTCGTATCGTTCATACCTGCGACAATCGACCAACAAAGACGAATAAATATATTTTATCAATAGAAAATCTATAGCATATTGCATGTTATCACAACCTTTCTAAAAAAAATATATCCATTAAATATACAACGATGTCAAAATGCTCGGGATGGGCCGTCCCAATCCAAAACATGAATGGGCCTAAAATCAAAGGTATAAATGATAAATCGTAAAGTTACAAGTTAAAGATAACCGAAAAATGAATGTTTTATTACAGATCCTAAACAACCATAAAACTCATTTAAACCAATTAATCCATTTAACTTAAGTAATTCATAAATCAAACATATATCATCTATTATACATATTTTATATTTTAATAGTATTTTATAAAACATGTTAATTTAATTTTTAGGCTACTGTACATAAACCACTGTATACATTGCCTTGATATAAAACCCAACTCGCATTTTCGACAACTAGTCATGTACAGTTTTTATATAGGATCTCGTTATTGCAGGAACCAGAAACACTGAGAATAAGAACGAAACAAGAAAGGGGAAAAAGAAATTGGAGTAAATTTCTCATTTGTCCCCCCGGATGAAAAACAACCGTTATTACATATGAACACACACACAAAAGGCGAAAACATAACGAAAAACCGAAAACAGCAACACAACGTCAACAAACGGGAAACGGCAATGTCAATAGGCATTTTGTGAACGCCATCACTGCCTAGCTGCCCTCTTGGCTTTGAAGAACCTCTGTCTGATAGAAACTAATTGGTTAGCCGCCTCATCAATCACTGCTCTGTTCGTCGGAGATTCTTCAGAGCATCTGATTCCCACGTCGAGAACCATTCCCAAGCACTCAGCCATGGCGGCACGGCCCATACGAGCACCTGACAGATTAACCATAATTTATCTACAAACAAAGGGATAAAATACCATTGTAAATGAAAACAGGAATGAAATCATTGTTTGGGCGTCTTCCTTTTGTGTTGGTGTTCGATCCTTAATAATTATCAGGTAAGATCTTACCTGCGCTGACAAGAATAGACCGGTCGACGATATCCATCACACGCTCTGCTAATGCGGATCTTGTATAGCTATGGAGAGTGAAATCCTCGGAAAATAATTCATCCGTAGGTCTTTTCCCGGTGAATATCTCCAACACTAGGACTCCAAAGCTATAAACGTCACCCATTACTGACGGTTCACCTCCCATTCCGTATTCTACAACACAAAAATTAAGGAGATATTTCTTCTTTAAAATTTAGTTAGGTGTGCGTGTACTGAGCATAATAACATACCTGGTGGCATGTAACCGATGGTTCCTCTGATGTTGTCAGAGCTAAATTGGTTCTGAGATGATTCTTGATCAAATTTTCCGAGGAGCCGAGCCAAACCAAAATCACTTACATGGGCTGTGAGATCATCATCCAGAAGAACATTGCTCGGTTTTAGATCACAGTGAGCAACGGGGCTGTGGCAATAACAATGAAGATGGACCAAAGCTGAGGCCACATCTATGGTGATGTCAAGTCTTTCAAGAAGGTTCAGCGTTCTCGTGGGATTGCTCGTCCCGACTTCTGCTTCATTCGGATGCAACCACGTATCCAAGCTTCCGTTCGGCATGAACTCATAAACCAGAGCTCTGAATTCATTTCCATTGAAATCGATGCTAGAACAAACGGTCAACAGTTTCACGAGGTTACGGTGTCTTATGCCCTTTAAGGCTTCACACTCTGCCATAAAACTTTTGGCAGCTCCACTCTTCCAAAGGTTCAAAACTTTAACAGCGATGACCTTGCTCTCGGGACCGAGTAACCCTTTAAACACAGTACCAAAGTAACCCGATCCAATGATATTGGTCGATGAGAAGCTACCGGTTGCATTTTGAAGCTCTTCATAACTTATCCTTTCGTAAAAATAATCCAGGGCAGAATTAGGCTGAGTATTAGCATTTTTCTCTCTCTTTTGCTTCTTCCTTCTACTCAGCCGGTAGAGAGAAACAACGATCAGGAATGATAATAAAAGCAAAGCTGTACCCACGCTAACAATGATTGCCACTTTCTTATGGACCAAGGATGGCCTTCTTCGCTTTGCAGGCATTTGTACAGAGCATGGCTTTAGCTGCAATTCAGGAATGCCTCCACAGAGATTTTTGTTACCAAAGACGGAAATCGCACTAACATTTCGAAATACTCCGGTCATCGGAACTGCCCCTTCGAAATTATTCATGGACAAGTTTAGATACAGTAGTGAGAGGTTCACTAGATATCGAGGAATTATGCCGGAGAGACTGTTGTTGGACAGATCAAGGTAGTGGAGGCCGGTTAACCTTCTTATATCTGGGATTTCTCCATCCAAGGAATTTCCTTGGAGATCAACTTCTTCCAATGAAAGACAGTTTCCTATTGTCTGCGGTATTTTCCCCGATAATTTATTGTACGTTGTTTGTATTTGAACCGCATATTTCAGATTTCCGACGTTTTCTGGCAAGGGGCCGACCAAAGAGTTATACGAGATATCTATCATCACAAGAGATGGAAGGTCCATGAGTTCCCGAGGTACAATGTCGGTCAGCTGGTTAGACTCAAGCCTCAAATAGTGAAGGCCGCTGCAATTGCCAAGACTTGGAGGGATACTTCCATCAAATCGATATATTCGAATCTCCGTCGATATCAACCAGTCCAGAAAGCTTTCCGAGGGAAGTAGGAAGTTTGCCTATCAAACGATTCATTTCGAACTCAAGTAGTTGTAGGTTGACGAGGTCTCCAATACCAATAGGAAAACTTCCCGAGATATAATTCCATCCCAAGTAAAAATATCTCATTTGTGTCGAGAGATTTGCTATGGAGACAGGCAGTGCACCTCCGAGTCTATTGTGGAAAATGCCCAAGACTTGCAATTGCGTGCAGTTATTCAAACTTCCAATAAAATCAAGATCAGTGGAAGCGTTATTTCCAAGACTATTTCCATCAAGCTGAAGCAATGCCAAGTCTCGGTTTTTGCTAAAACTCAAGGGAATACTTCCTATGAAGTTGTTGTAAGAAAGATCTAACTTTCGAAGAGTTGTGATATTGGAAAATGGAGCAAGAAGCGTTCCGGTGAAATGATTTGTGCCCACGTACAATGTTTGCAGGTTCGGAAAGAGAGTTCCAAAGTCTAGCCCAACATCACCCGAAAAATTGTTCTTTCCTATGGTCAAGACCCAGAGAGAAGATAGATTGTGAAAGGCATTAGGAAAATCACCAAAAAAGTTGTTCCCTCCTAATTGAAGTACCATGATTCTGTTCAGTTTGGCAACACTTTCTGGAATCTCCCCTTCCATATGGTTATCTACAAGGCTCAACTTCTCGAGCGATGTCAGGTTTCCTAAACCCGGGGGGAGCATCCCTGTCAACTGGTTCCCACGAAGATTTAAATCGATTAGCTTAGATAATGAACGAAGTTCAGAAGGAATGTTGTATGTAAGACGGTTGACCGACAGATCAAGGGTCAACAAACTAGAACAGTTGGACAAACCGATAGGAATACCCCCTCCAAGAAGATTACCGCTCATGTTCAAGTACCGAAGCCTAGACAATTTCCCAAGTGCCTGTGGGATGTTGCCATGAAAAGAGTTGCCCCTAAGATCAAGTGACCTGAGAAATGAGAGGTTACCGACAGAGGCCGAGATCACTCCGGTCAGTTTTGTCGACATCAGCCTCAACTGGGTCACTCTTTGGTGCTTGCGGCCACATGTAACGCCGGTCCAGTTGCAGAGATGGAGAGAGCCATCATTCCACGAGCCCAACGCAACTCTGCTCTCTGGAGAAAGCAGAGACTTGAACTCGAGCAATGCTTCTTTATCAGTCTCGGCCGTATGAGCACCGAACACGCCCGAAACTTGAAGCAACGTGAAGAGAGTGTGTGAAGCCAATAAAAGAAACTTCCTCATCCTCTCGAACGACGGGTAAAAGCACAAAGAGTAAGAGGAACGGTTGCTTTCTTCTTCTGATATATATCTTTCTTTGTACCTTCAGATTGGTTAAGCTTACGGAGTTGATTATAAAATGGCACTCGTTTCTTTTGTACATATCATTTGTCATTGCCACTAAATGAAAAGTAACAATTTGTCAAAACATGTGTGGCTTGACTTACTCAGTCAACGTTTGTGGAGTTGGAGCTGGATTTCTAAATGGCATGAAATTCCAACACTCACATGGGACTTTGCGGCCAACATGTATTGCTGCAACTCTTTTTCATTGTCCACTAAAACAGTGTTACAAAGTCTTGTCGCCCCATTCATACAAAAGGATACTGTTGTAATTTGCTACTGCCCAAAACCACGGATTTATTCGGAAAGGTTAAATAAAACTATTTCTAACGACTACATAATATGTACAATAAAAAAAGACCAAAGGCCATTTTGCCGAAACGCTCTTTGATAAAACAAGGAAACCACCTAGAGAATGCAATTATGCACAACATGATCTAAGAGGCTGAAACGTTTTCTTTTCTTTTTTTTTGGTTATTACATAGTCAGGTTAAAGTTGTATTGTACACTAATTGGATAGCACAACATAAATCAAACCAACTCCAAGGGATTTCTTGGATCACCCAATGTAGTATTTCTTCCAAGGGTGTTACACCGTAAACAAAAAATGACCAGCTAAATCTACATTCCTCTTTAGCTCTTAGCTGAGAAGCCCTTTGATTAAGTTACATCACCTTAGATACAACTCGAACAGAAGCCAATGAGTGCCAAGTGTCCCGTGTCTCGTGAACAATCTCGGGTCAGGCTTTCCAGAAGAAACGATGAATTTTACTGTCGCCCTGAAGGGGAAAACAATGGCCAATGCTTCACAATGGCAAAGAGAGGCCTCGAGTGCTTATGAAATGCCCGTGTTTTCGTCATCCTTCAATACCGTGTTTGGCCCATCATCGAAACCAGATATGGGGGCAAGCTCGTTTAGGTCAAGGTAATGCCTTTTCCCGACCCTCTCAACTTCATCTTGGTCTGTGCCATTTGATTTGTTAAGAAGCCGGTCGCTCTCTTTCTCAGTTGTCTCTTCATTGTCATTATCTTCATTGATAGGATCTTCAGCAACTTTTGTTTCTGGGTCATTCCCATTTTCTTCAGACTCCTGGCTTCCCATTGAAAAATCCTCTTCTTCTGTTTCATCAAGGAGTTCGTCCCGTTCTACCAACCGCCTAGATTTTGCAGGTTTTGCTGTTTCGTTGTCTGACTCTGAAAGCTCGTATTGTTTGTAGTCAATTCGATTTCTCATGGTTCTTTTACTGCGCCTAAGCCCTGGACGGAGATCATTCGGTCTTGATCGTGATTTTGCTTCTCTCCGTGGCATTCTCTTAAACCTCCGGGGTTCATCACTATCTTCTTCACTAACACTTAAAGAATCTTCTTCCTCTTCTTCTTCTTCCTCATCATCAACATTGTCTTCATCCCACCGGTACTCCTCGTCACCCTCGGAGCCACTAGAGAGATTTTTCCTTTGTTTACGCTTCCTCAGATATTCTTCGTCATAGATTGCTTCCCCAACTATGTCATCGTCACTGTCAAAGTCTGCCTCATTTTCTGACATGGTTTCAACAAAGTCCATAGTTGAATACCGTTGAGGCCGCTGTCTCCTCCGATTGCTGTCAGGAACGCAATTCTCATCAGTTTCACAAAATATTCTGCAAATTTACGGATGAGAGAAAAACTGTTAAAATTACTTGCCTTCTGTCAAACGATTCTGATTTATGCTCATCCACGTCATTGCAATCGGCAAACTCAGACGATCTCCCGGATGTTGTATCGTTTCCAGGCTCAGGAGGATGGGTAGAGCTTGCCCATCTGTCATCTGGAACCGTATCCAATATGGCAGTTTCTCTTCTGTGAAGAGGAGGTTCTGGTGATGGCGGTTTCTTTCTGTAAAATAGACGGAGAAAGAAACAGAATGATTCGATGCTGAATACATACCTATAACAGGATGAAAAACGTGTAAACATAAACATGGAAGACTATTCAAAGCAACAGATAAACCGGGAAGGCAAAGCAGACTACACCGAGGGAAAAAATGGTTTTTTTTTTTTAACAGGGTAACACATTCATCGTACTTGGTTATCTTGATAGCTTCATTGATTGACCGATCATAATCATCTGCGAAAGCATTTGAATTAAGTCAGTAGCTCCACCTATCAGTAATCGATCCATAAGTAAAAGCCATCGAACCCAGATAGATATTAAGCTGGGGAATCTAATCTTGATACGGGCAGGTAAGTAATAAACTTACCAAAAGTATATCGGACTGGTTTCCTGTCACGAAGAGAACGCCCACCTCCAAGGCCATCGACAACCAAGAAGTTATCAAGAAGAAGAGCCTGTCTATGTTGCTTTTTCAACAATCTTTCTTTCCTCTGACAAAGAAAAAGGAAAGAAAGAACGTAAACAATCATGAAAGGATGCAGGAAACACAAACATTTAAATGAAAAAACACACCATTAGTAGCAGCGTGTCATTCTATCGTACCAGAAATAAGGAAACCAAAAAATAAAAGAATCTCAGCAGGCAGATTAATACCTTATGTTCTCTTTCGATTTCAGGAAGCATATCATTCTTCAACTTTTTCCCTAGAGAAGCCTCGGTCCTATTTTTACTTGAAAAAAGTTTCTCCTGCAACACCATACCGAACAGAGAGATAATTTTGCTACTTTAAAGCACAATAGGAGCCAGTATAAATTCAAATGAAGCTTCAATCCGCAACATAAGATGCAAAACCAATAGAAAATGATTCAGAAGTAACCCAAAGTAGTTGCTGTTCACAACAAAAGGTGCTAAACAACTGAAATGTATCCACCACTTTAACCCCACTTCTGTTCTCTTTATTACTCTTCAATCAGTCAGAATAATCATTTTCAGGAATGGAAAACCCTAAATTTCCAAAGCAAAGCATATACTGGATTCGCTAATACACATTACTATCTTATTACGACATCCTTGCGAGTTTGAAGGTTCGACTTGCTTGGAAAAGGGCCGTTTGTTCACCAGAGATCAATAATGTAAGGGTACATGTACCATCCTTCAGTAAAATCTTTAATCACTTAACTCTATCCATAAACAAAGTGTTTACAAACTTTTTTCCCCAATAATCCCAACTCTGACAACCGTTGAGTTTCATCACTGGAGAATATTTTGAGGTAAAATCCACTGATTCTCCTAGCCTGCCCACAATCTAATGAGCACCAATATAGCAAAATCAACATCACTGTATTCCACGATAAGAACTCACGCCTAACTAGACAGTAAACAAGAGTCGAATAGGATAGAAGCTTCCCAAGCAAATCACCGTATAGCTGAAAATAATTGAGCAATAGAAGTGACTTACAGAAACATCTTGAAATTCGTCAAAGTTGGTGGCAACAGTTTCCCATTGGTGTGTGATATTAGAAAGAACCTGGGAACCCTTTGTTTTCACCTTCACTGACTCGGCTTTCCTTATTTCACGGTATAATCGGTGGCCAATTAAGGGGTCATCTTCATACCTAATGTAGAAAAAACCGGTGGATCAGAAATCAGCTAAAAAAGCAGATGCTGTTGAAGATACATTCCAGGGAATATCAATTTCTTCTCTCTTCTTTGCTCCCTACCAGAAATTAACTCCGTGAGAATCACCCCCAACACGTTCTTTACGGAAAGCTGAGAGATGAACACCACTTTTAAGAGAGTTGTCAATGTAGCCCTTGATGTCCTCTTGCTGTACAATCCATATACATCTTAATTAGAAGAGTTAGATAACATATTTTTCAATCAAATCAGAAAAGCCCAGAACATTGATCACGAGACAACATGACAGGATTACACAGCTGCATAAAACTGGTGTTGATGTCCATGTACGCATAGCAAACCAGCTAGATAAACAATAATCTGGATAAATGTGTGCAAACATAATAGAATGAATTTTACATGCATGGCTCCAAACTCCCAAATAGAAAGCTCTATGAAAGTAAACATTATTTGTGCTTCAGATGGGTGAAAAATGCAACAAAAACAAGTATACATCCAAACGCAGTGGATATTAAAGGACGCGAAACTTTAAATCTTCAGAGAATAAAAACAAGAGCAATGAAAGATACAAGAGGTGTAGACAACCACAATTAATGTTAATGGGACATTTAGTTAGATAGATTAGTACCTCAACACGAATATCACACAAAGCTTTCAATATCACCACACGGGTTCCTGGATCAAGAGATTTGTACTTTTCAACCTCCAGCCTATAAGATTAAGAGGAGAAAAATAATAAATCTTTTAAGCAATCAACCACCAAAGAAATCAGAACTTGATCATCACTCACCCATGAGATGCGATAATAGGGAAGTTCCCTTCTGCAACCTAATGAGCATACATAGCTCTTATCAGAACATGAACTAAAGAATAATACCAAAAGAATTTCAATTATCAAGGAAACCGATATCATTGATAGTTACCCAATGCCACCAATCTCGTAGTTTTCTGCGTAAGACAGTGACCCAGGTGTCACGTGTGAGAGCCATTCGAGTTACAGGAGGAATAGCCTACAGAAAAGGGTCAAAATTTGTATAGAAGTTGTTCACAAGGAAAATTGTTAAGCAATGATATATTTTCATAGTAGATGAGATAAAAATACTCTGTCAAGATTGAAATCAAGTCCACCAATCAGGAAATATTTTTAAAAACTGAAGAGAATATCTCAGAGAAAATTGATACTACTCTCGACTTCGTATAGTAAAAGGTGCATAGAAGTTTAACGTAGGCTGCCTACAAATAAAGATGCTATTTATAAGCAGAAAAAGATCAAATTCTGCAGTCAATGACTGATTTGCAGAAAGGCTTTATTCCTCAATCAGAACTGTATAGCTATATCAAATCACGCAAGCAAATCAGGCAAGTAATCTCCTAAACAGAAGCAACTCAATTTATGCACACAGAAAGAGAAAAAGAATGGGCTGCTTCTCAGACCATCAAAAACCACAACAATGTTAACACCTTTCTGTCCAGCATTTTTTCCCCACATTCTCCTATATCTATCTGCCAGTTCCTCACTATAAATTCTAATACCAAAAAAAAAAAGGTTAAGTGGAAACGCAAAAGAGGATATTTTAAGTATTGAGGAGAGAACCAAGTCCTATTCTTCTACCAGCAAAAGCTTTCATTGGAACTCAATTTTAAATCCACTGAGCAAAATCTACTTGAAATTTCTGAGAGCCAAGGTGTTCTGTTTTAACTTCGTGAATAAAAGCATCCTCCAGAAATTTCTCAAGCATCTTAACGAGCACACAACTTTCTCTGGTTTTCAACGTAAAAAGATAGAACCGGATATTTTAATCCACTTGTATCACCATTCAGTTGAACAGATGACTAGCAATGATTGCAGCCATTTCAAGACTCGTTAACAAGGAGGGTCCTGAATTCCAGTTTTTTGCCGATGAATTATAATTACGGAACAAAGATCACTACTAGCAGCCATGAAACACAGTTACAACAAAACCTACATTTTCATCCAACTAAGAGCAGTATTCAAGCACATGGCAGTAACATATAGGAAGAAGAGTGCATCATTGACAAGTTGCCTTCTTTCCACCAAAGCCGTTCACCATCTAAAATCTTTAACAAGACTTTTACTCACTCGGCAGCACAGAGGTAAAATTTCAGGCCCAATGCCATTATATAAGGCGTGAAGATCTTACCACTACTTATTCCACACTAAAAACGATCCAACACAACCGTAATTTCTATTCATGTAAATGCAATAACCATAATTTCTCTAGAAGTACTTTCAATTTAAGAAGAACAAAAACCAAACAAGCTAAAGCGATCAGTGAAACTACAACCAAGACACAAGCAATACACAAAGAGCAAGCGAAACCAAAGTACCAACCTTTAAAAGTGGTATGTGTATATCGCTCAAAGTGTCATTCGGATTCAGCAGAGCAGTCTCGAACTCTTCGGCCGAAAACTCCAAGTTAATGTTCAAAAGCGGTCTAAAAACCTTCACACGTCGCAAAACCAGAAGTCGGGAGTTACTCGGTGTGAGCTTGAGAGCCACTAGGAAAGTCAAAATTCAAGCAAAACAGAGGGACCTCACATGCAAGAAATTCAGTACGGAAGCAAGTTCCCACATTGAACGGAGGCTCCAACGAGGCATCTGCGATGGCTCCGGCGGCGGAACTAGAGACGTCACAATCTTACTGGTACTTCCTCCGCCGCATTGCTGCTGATTCCTCGGCGACCCATCTTCTCCTTCTTCTTCCTCTTGATCGTCCTCTTCCTTCTCCTCATCCTCCTCTTTCCGCTGTCGCTGACTCCGTCTCTGCTGCTCCTTCTTCGCCGGCCTCAGTCTCCTCTCCGCCGCTTGCTGCTCCTGAAGCCGCTGCTGTGCCCTAATAGTGCAGGCGCGTGAAGGGCGTGTTCTCCTGGGCGCCGGCACCTCTTCCGTCTCCGGCACCGGAGCGCCGCCGCCGTCGGGAGAGTGGTGGTTGCCGGAGATATCTGGCTCAGGTAAAGATTGGTCAGGAACGATCTCGGGGGGAGAATCCATCGAAAACCCAGGTGAATGGAAGAGATCGAGAAGGGGAAGAAGAGAAAAATAGGGTTTCTTAGGGTGAGAGGATCAAAACCCTTGGGCATTGAGAAGAAAATCCGAATCGGTTTTACAGCGAAGTGGAATAGGAATGAGGGAGGAGGTCCAAAAGCGTCGTTGGTGCGCGAAACGCCGTCGTCTTGGTCTGGAGGGGAGGATCTGTGAATGGGAAAAGAACGAGAGGGTGTAATAATTAATGTCTTTTAAATGTTCTTTAGGGGAAACGGAATGAAAACAAGAGATAAAAAGGGGAAAAGGGGGGAAAGGCTTTGAAGAGATTATATTTGTATTTGTATATAAATTATTTTAAAAATAGGTTATATATTATTTTTATAAAATTAAATTCCAATATATTGGAATAGAATAGAAATTAAATATAAAAATTGAAAAAAAAAATAAAAAAAATCTAATCAAATTGAAAATTGGTATAAAAAAATAAATATATATTAACTAATATAGAATAGAATATACCGAATATAAAATTAATTAAACTGAAATGCATAATTAATGTTTATCGATGAAGAGTATTTTATTTTGATATCAAGAAATTTACAAAAAATACATATATACAAAAAAAAAATTATATCATTTTAGTAACATAAATTTCTTTTAAAATGATATTAAAAATGTGTGGAAAAAAATGATATTAAAAATGTAGTCATATGTGTTTTTGTGATATATAATTTGTTTGGGCTAGTTTCAATTGAGATTTCCAATTTTACATGATCCAAAAAGTTTTGTATCGTTACATCACGAAATGATAAAGGGTTTATCCATGAATATATTTATAACTTTTAACACCAGACACAAATTTAACAGTTCTTAAGTGCCACAATAATCAGTAAATGGATAGATTATATTTAAATTTCATAAATGAATGGAACAAAAAATTTAATTATTATGATGTGTAATAATTAACAGAACAAGAAAAAACCCGTGTATTTTTAAATTGTTTTTCCTCATTACAAGACATAAATTCTCTTCGGCCACCCTGAAAATCAACAGAACAAGAATCAAGAAGTGTTTTCAACCACCGAAAACAACAAACAGTTAAACACCATATTATGAAAGATGAACCCTTTTCTAGCTTCTCAGTTCTGACAACATTACAGCTACAAAACCAGCAGAAGCAGAGACACAGACACTAACAAAACGACCAAACTTCCAAAGCAATGGCTCAGAAGAGTAGTTCCAAGTGAACGAGAGGGAGAACCCGAAGGCCGTGGGCTCGTCCCGGCAGTGATCTTGTCCTTGGAACAGGCGAAATTGCAGCGGCTCGGCCTCACTACTCTGTAAACACCTTTGCTTGTAAGCAAGTAGATATCTTTCTTGTTGTCCTCTCCGAACGAGAAAATATATCCGAGCGAAGTCTCTGAAGTTCCGGGAGTAGAGCTGCATTGCATCGGAGAGTCGGGTGCACAGCTGAATTTGATCTTATTCGACGTGAAATCCCCGCTGTTAACTGGCATTTCTATCCCGGCCCACATGCCATTCCCATATAGATCAGCATACAAGTACCTGAAAACATGTTCTTGCAAGTTGCAAAGGTGTTATTTACCATACTTTGATGTCGGAAAAAAGAACAGAACAAAAGTATTTGCTCACATTCCGTATGTGCAAGGATCAGTCTGTGACCGGTAGAAGTACCCTCCGGTTACTGAAGCTGATCCTCCGATCTTGTCCACCTCAGAATGGTTGTATCCCATAACAGGGAATATCGGGTTTATGGATTTGGCCGATGTATTTCCCCCCGGGGATGATTCAGGGTGGAAAACGTTCGTGCCCTCATAAACACGCCATCCGTAGTTTCCGCCTTTGGTTATGAGATCCACCTCTTCGAATGTATCCTGTTACACAAACCACACATGTCAGCAAGAGACAACAAAGGTATATATCGTACACTATTTCGTCGCTCTATCGGCCGGTTAGCTAAAGGGAAGAACAGATACTGTCAGAATCATACCTGTCCAACATCTCCACACATGAAGTATGAAGGTCTTTCCGAATCGAAGCTGCATCTCCAAGGGTTTCTCAGCCCGATGGCCCAAATTTCGGGCTGCAGCTCCTTGTCTTCGCGAAAAGGGTTATCCTTCGGTATTGAGTAGTTTCCCCATAAACCCATCGTGGCGATATCCGAAGAACCTGGAAACATTGGCACTATGTAAGTTCCACGGGACACGAGAAAATCATATGATATTTACATATACAAAAACCGAGCAAACTTCAAGAATACCCACTTGGAACGTTATCTACGTCAAGCCTCATGATCTTTCCAAGCAATGATTTCTTGTTTTGAGCAAAGTTATAAGGGTCTCCACCTCCGCCGCCATCTCCCATCATAAGGTAGAGATACCCGTCTGAAGGACTGAACAGAATCTGTCCACCGTGTTGAGATGTGAAGGGAAGTCCCATTGTGAAAATCCTTCTGACTTCTGTTGGCTTAGCATTCTTGGCCTGAACAATGAAAAACGAACGAGCTCTAACGAAAAAGGCATATCGAGAAGAATGATACATTGAAAAGACTTGAAATGTATACATAATATACCGAAGAAGGATTTGACGAGGTAGCATTAGTGGTATACTCGGCTATAACGGTTTGGAATTGGCACGGCTGAGAACCACTGTCAGGTGTTAGTTTGGAAGGATCACAGTTCACATCCGAGTTACAAGAGCATCTTCCGGTACATCCCGGCCACTTGGACTTATCACAATTGAACGAAGCAAAGAGCCGACCGTTCTGAGCAAATTTCGGATGGAAGGCAATACCCATCATCCCAAACGCGGTATCATAATGGACTTCATCGGTTAAATCCAAAAATGGACTCGATTCGTCTATATCCAACACTCCACCTGACTCTTGATCCGGTATACCAGCCAAATATATTATTCCAGATTGGGTAGAGAAGAATGCACGGTTTGAGCCATCGGGGTGAGGAACCATGGCAAGATAAGTGCCATTCCCGACTTTCTCGAGGCATAGACCACTCGGTGGGTTGTTCGGGTTAGTGTCATTCAGCTTCATTGGCTCGCCACTGAAGCAAAAGGTTTCGTTGGTGTTACCTCCTCCGAATGCATTGCAGAAATCGGCTTTCGACTGCCATTGATCAGCCAAGTTGGAGGTATTGGTATTCACTGGTGCTCCAGTCCGGCCTTGCAACGAGGGCGCGAAAATAGAACCGGAGATGGAGACGTTTTGACATGTATCCCATGTTTCAGAGCAGAAGTCCTTTGTCTTCTGAGAAGAATTCTCGGAAACAGAAGAGTTGCAAAGGATGGGAACTGGCCGTGGAGCTGAACTAACCCCGAAGAGGTCCGCTGAAAACGGGTCACATTTCTGTAACATCAAAAGACAGAACAAACAAAAAAAAAGATGTAAGAACAGATGAAAGTTATGATCGAAGAGATCAACTCAACAAAAGATTGCTGGTAAGGATACAAGTGTATGCGCTAAGGTTTAAAACTCTACTGAAACATCGAAGAAAGCTCGGTATTGCAGAAGGACTTGATGCTAATTGTTCTTACAGCACAAAGGATTGATTTAACAACAGCAGCACATCCCGTGTCTGAAATGTTCATCGCTCGGAACTGCCTCTCCAATGCCGAGTCTTCGCTCGGGTTGCAACATGTCTTTCCACTGTAGGGACAAAAGCTCAATGTTGAATTCCCTTCCATAGGGGCTCCTAAAACCACAAAGTCAAGCAAGGGATAGGTGTAAAACCGTCCATTAACAGGAGATAATCCAGCGTCATTATGACCCAAAAGATTGGCAGAATCAGAATATTGGATTCTCCTAGGAAGGAGCTACCAAAATCACCACAAATGCTGGATATTCATTGGGCAGAAAACTACAAAAGAACCTAAAGAGCAATGTTATGGAGTGAGTGAAATCATTTGGAGATTGAATTGGGAACAGAAGACGCCTAAATCAGCACCAACAGGATCTGAAAACTTGCTAAAACAAGAACCCTATCAGAAATTCTACAACTTTGATTTCAAGATCCTACATCTTATAGCAGAAAACCGTGAACAACTCGAATAACCAAATCATCCAGGAAGAAAACCAAATCGAATCATATCAAATCAGAAATATTCGTCTGAAAAGGATGGTTCAGAGTTCAACGGACAAAAATCAAAAGATTTCCAAATGGACAATACCCAGAAAAACTTACTCAAATCGGTGCAAAGAGGAAGAGCCCATGAAGAAAGAGCAAGGCATAGCAAGAAGAAGAAGGCAATGGTTAAATGACAGCTTCTTCTTCCTCTTCCCATCATCGTGTCTCAAAAGAGACTAACCTTAGGAAATGAACAATGACAGTGAAACATGACAAAGGGAAAGAAACCCTATATAATCTGGCATCAGGACAAGACAGCCTTGGAGCATTTGGGTTTGACTCCAGAGACATGAAGAAGAAAAAATGCATATTATAATATGCAGTAATGGTGTACTTGTTGTCTTCCCACTACTACCAACAACCTTATCTCAATAATCTCTGTATAATAATAGATGTCCTGTTCCTTTGAAGATTTCAAACCTTCTCATCTCAACGCCGAGAGAGAGAGAGAATCAGGAAAAGAACCCTGATTTCCTTTCGCAGTGGGCAAAGTTTGTGTCTTTATCTTTCCGTGTCTTGCTTTATGACAAAATCTGAAACTGGGTTTTTTTCCCTTCAAATCCGCATCTCTCACATCACATCACAGATTCACAGTCACGGGTTTCGTCTTCGAATGTGAAAGTCAAAGTAGTTGACCTTTTACATTGGTTTGGTTTCAATGGATGGGGGTTAATGATAACTGGAAAAGTCGGAAAGTGGGTGAGGCACGAAACGATGGAATTTAATTTATGTTACTTTAGGGGGAATTTAATACAAAACACTATCAAATCTAGTTGATGGTTTTTCAGTTTACTTCTAATAATAAACAAAATTACTTTTATATTTCTTTTAAAATAAGCATAAGTACATTAATTAACATACAAAACACTATCAAATTTAAGTTTAATTAAACAAACAGATACAAAATACAAATGCATTAATAAACATAAGTACATTAATTAACATACAAAATTATAATTAAAATTAGATTTTTAAATATAAAATCTATTTATTAAAATATGGTACAAACATATATTTTGTTATAGTCAGTAACACTGATGTATGTATTTAAAATTACAGATTTGGTATTGTGAGTTTTAGTGTTGGACCAAGCGTTATAGATAGAGGAGCCTTTCGAGCCCACTTATTCCTGAACTTCTCTACTCAATCTCGAAACAAAAGATAGATAATAAACCCCAAAACTTATAATCACCAAAAAAAAAAAAAAGATAAAAGAGCAAAACTTAAACCCCCAAAATAAAAAGAAATCAAATCTTGTTGATACAGCTACTCATTTTGGGGCCCTAATTATTTAAAAAAACTGTAATCTTTTTAAGTTTTTAAAAAATTAATAGTAGATTTAAAAAGAGCATTCAATTTTGTAACCTTGCGACAAAATAATTATTGTATATGTGATATCCAAATACCGATAAAGATGGAGAGTGATCGTTGGTGCGAAAGGACATATAGAAAGAGCGATTTCTGACATATTTCTAGTATGATGCGATGGATGTGTACGTAGGCATATAAGAATAGATAGGTTTCAAAATGAGAGTATTAGATATATAAGAATAGTAGGTATAGAAGAGAAATTACGGAAAGACTGCTAATGTTATTTGTTATGATAAATATAGCATAAAAGATATTCCAATTGATATTAAAAGATATTTCAATAGAGATATCTTTTTTCCAGAAACTCGATATTTTATTTCTCTACAAAGATGCAATGCGCTAATTTATCAGTCGAAGTCTTGCGGGATCTGATATATGGTCACAACTCCTAATATGTACTAGATACTTCCGAGACATGGTCCAATCATTGTTCTACAATTAATCTTAAAAAAAGAATAATGTATTTTGATTTGTACTATAAATAATAATGTATTTTTCTAATATAATGTAAAAAAAAAATAGTTAAATTATTAGTTGTTGTATTAAACAACTCTGAAATATTTTAGAAATCATATCTAATTTTTATAAACGATTTTCAATTTTATTTTATCATTGGAATTAGAATTTTAATTTAGAGAATGAAAGTATTAATGATTTATGAAGATTTAATTGATTCATTATAAAATTATAAAAATCATTTTTATAAAGAAAAATTGATGTCTTTATAAAATTAATTTTTAAATATACTTTTTAATATACATTGTTTTCTCCAAATATGAGGCGGCTCTCCAAATATGAGGCGGCTCTGCTCATTTGCCTCGGGCCCTCAACTTATCCAATACGGGGGTCCATTATAAACATATTAATAGAAGTTAGCTTCGGCTGAGTTTTGGCTTTTAGGACCCAAACTGTGTAAAAACAAATTTTTTTGGTATCGGCGGGGACTCAACCATAGCTCTTCGGGCGCGGTGATAAACCTTCGGAATCCACACAATAGCTTGCAAATTACGTGGAACAGGTAAACCACTCAAAAGGTGATAAACTCATTGCAGGTCGATATGGAGAATGATGATGATGAAGAGGAAGAAGTTGTGAAAGTCGATATTGGAGACTGTTGGAATGATGTTGCCAGCGCTCCGGCCTCTGGAATCATCGGTTCGTCCTCTTCGTCGTCGGATGTTGGACCGTTGTTTCCTCATCAGACAATGTGACTCCTCGATCGTATACAGAACGTGGTAATAAAAAGGGTGCCCCATGCGTGTTGTATCTTCATGTCTGTGTACTATCTCTTGGTCTCGGTGAAAACATTTTCAAAACTTTACCCAACAAACCTTTACAATTGGGAGAGAAAATCAACATATAAAATTGTAAAAGACATAAACAAAGAACCAAATGAGATTAACAAAACGTACCCACAAAGCTACGGACACATACAGATTTGTATCCCGAATTTATTTGCCAACAATGTAGAAATGATGATGGTTGTGGCGATAAATACAAAAGATGCAGAAGATTGGGCTCAATTATTGATTCGGCCCATATTGTTATGAATTGGGCCCATTATGACAAGTTGTGGCACGTGGAGAGCGCGTGACGGACACAAAACGGAACGAGCAGGAAACACGACGGAACGGGATAAACTAACGGGGACAACGGCGCGAACGGCCACGTCCATGCCCAAGGGGCCATCTTAAATACAAAAGATGCAGAAGATTGGGCTCAATTATTGATTCGGCCCATATTGTTATGAATTGGGCCCATTATGACAAGTTGTGGCACGTGGAGAGCGCGTGACGGACACAAAACGGAACGAGCAGGAAACACGACGGAACGGGATAAACTAACGGGGACAACGGCGCGAACGGCCACGTCCATGCCCAAGGGGCCATCTCTAGGGGTGGCCAATTCGGGTTTCGGTTCGGGTTCGGTTCGGTTATATTCGGGTTCGGTTATTTCGGTTATAGAAAAACTATAACCATTCGGTTTTTATATAAATTTCGGTTCGGTTCGGTTCGGTTATTTTTCGGTTCGGGTTCGGTTCGGTTTTGGTAAAAAGTTCAATTTTTCAAAGAAAATTGTCGGTTATTCGCTCGGTTTTTTCGGTTATTTTTTATTCGGTTCGGTTCGGTTTCGGTTTCGGTTCTTCGGGTTTAAGGAAATCATAACCGTTCGGTTTTGATGTCGGGTTCGGTTCGGGTACGGTTATGTCTTATTCGGTTCGGTTCGGTTCGGTTATTCGGTTAATAACCGAAATGGCCACCCCTAGCCATCTCTATCCCCAATCGACCAATCATTTTAAAATCACGTTGCTGACTCAGCAATCCCGCGCGAGAAAGTCCGCGTACCACTATAATAATTAATTTTGCATACTCAATATTTAATTAACTGTTTAAAATAATGTTATTATATTCTGTCGCTGTGTGAAGTATTTATTAAATATTACAATTGTTTAGTGTTGATGGGATTGTTTAAATATTGTTAGTAAACCAAATAATTCGTACGAACATGTCATTAGGATTTCATATTTCATTCGTGGGAAGAAAAAATAATCGTATATGAATCAAGTATTAAAATTATATCAAGTCCCGATTCCTTCTCACATACTCCACCTTGGTTCAAATCTCCACATTTTTGCTATACAACCAAATCCAAAAATTAAAAGCTGAACTTTCGAACTTCCTGAACGTACAAAAATGGGTATTAACGTATTTTTTCATGTATTCGAAAGTAAATTAAAAACTAATTTTTTTAAACCCAAAAATTCATTACAAAATAAAATATGAATTAAAATATTAAATTGTTCTCATCACCTCCTCTACCATTTGATCTTTATATGATGTAACATTTGTCTATTGAAGATGAACTCGTGGTTGCCAAACGTGGTTGGTAGATGGGTCTGCGTAAAAAATGCTCCATCTCCGATTCGAACTTATCCCGACACAAATTTTATCCAAAAAAAACTCGTGGTCCGGATCGAAACAATACAAAAAAAAAAGAATCGTGTGGACAAATTAATACTGATTGTCGAACAATATGCTTTTAGAGAAGGGTTCCACAAGAGTTTCTTATTTATTAATCTCATATCAAACGATGATTTGGATGGATCCAAGATTTTCTCACCAAGTTTATATATATATATATATATATGCAATATGATACGCAAATGAAGGTGCACATGTCAGTGGAATATCGTATATTGTATAGTTATTTATATGTTGAAGTGTCAAAATGAGGTCAGCTCGTTTGGTTTACCGACCCATCACAAGCCGAGTTGAGTCAATATTTTTAAGACTCATTTGCAAATGAGTCTAAGGAATCAGTTTTTCACAAGTTCAGAGCTCGTCGAACTGTTTCGCCAGATGTAATTTGTTTTTTAAATTATACATTTTTATTTATATTTTTCTATATTTATGCAAAATTAATATTTAATTTAATTTTTATTGATTATATAGGTATAATTTTTTATATAATCATAATGGACCTGATAATATACGGTCTCTTTAGAAATTTGAACCCTCGGTTTTTGAATATCCTGTTTTCGTGCAATTCAAAGGGTTCAACTTGATCTTCTATCAACTGACAAGGTAAAGTATGCAATCTTATACATTAGTTTTTATATGATATTCGAACCATGACAAAGTAACCGAACTCAAAAGGAAATTCATTATTTATGGTCCAAAATTATAGATTTTGACGAATGCAATAATGTTAATATTTTAATAATTAAATTTTATATTAAAAAATCATTTTACTTGAGTATTAGTTAATGTTTGTGTACAATAAATTTAAAGTATTGTTCTCATTGTATTATTAATGTTTTCGATAGTAAAATTTTATTTATAAATCACTTTTCTTTTTAATAACGTATACTCACTGAAAATAATTTTCCGAATATTTGTAGCTAACTATTTTTAACTATAGATTTTCGATTTCACGACCGATTTATCCATTCCTATTTACGAGTCTTGTGATAATGTCACAACTTACCAACTAAAAACTTAGTTCTCCATGAATTATAACTTAAACAAACTATTTGTGGAGATCCAAATGAATAGAATTCCTGTTTGAATTTGAATATTGTTTTTGAGAAAATATTATATTAAAAAAAGAAAAAAAAAATGCATGAATTAAGAGCAAAATATGAGTAAATGATATATCCTTCTCCGTATTATTATGTATCCGCAAAAAAAAACAAGCATTAGATAGAATGACAACTCAATCATGTTTTAGTTTACCATTTTCTCATTTTTTTCTAAAAATATTTATCATACCAACCACTTTCCTTTTTTAAATGCCAGTCAAAACTCGCTGATTAAACTCGATAACATTTACTATATAATTTATTTCAAGTAAAAAAACATATTAAATTTTCTAATTTTTTTGGAGAGGATAAAAAATAATACAGAGAGAGTAAAGGACTCATTCAAATGCATTGGGATCCGGATCGAGTTTCATTTGAAATTTCTTTCCAAAATATGCAGTAATTTTTTTAAATATTTTCTTTCTAGAAAAAAAATTATATTTGGATTAATATTTTTGGAAAGGTGAAAAAAAATATTTGAAAGGACCAAACAACTGCCGACAGAGTATCTTTAGGAGATCAGTTGGGGCCAATTCAGTCGAATCCAAAGTTCACAATCGATCGACACATTTATTTTTTGTCCTAACGGTAACACCGTATGAAAAAGGCCGCTTCGTTCGTTCAGCTACAGCGTCTCCATCACTTCTCGAATTCAATATAATAAAACCCTAATTCCCAAATTAAAAAATCCCTAAATCTCATCATCAGAGAGAGAGAGCTTGACGTGACGATGATCGAATTCGAGCCCTTAAAAGACCATCTCTGCTCGTCAACGCGTTTCCTTCCTCTTCCTTCTCCTCCTCCTCTCCCGTTGTTCATGGTGGCCGTTGCGGTGGATGGGAGGCGGAGATTGTCGTGCTCTTCCGCCGGACAAGGATGAGAGACTCCCGGGATATGCTTCGTCGGCGTCGGCGGTGGGGGTCGCCGCCGGGAACAATGCTCGGCTATCGGAAGCTCCAGTGCTTTTGTTTGTTTACTTCCACAAGGCTTTCCGAGCCCAGCTGGCGGAGCTCCGGCGACTTGCTGTTGACGCGGCGGAGAAGGGTACCGGTGGCCGGGATCTGGCGGCGGAGCTCCGTGGGAGGTTTGAGTTTTTGAAGCTTGTGTATAAGTATCACTGTGCAGCTGAAGATGAGGTTAGACTGAAAATTCATGTTTCTGTTTCTATTTGGGCTTATGAATCTCGTAATCTCTGTCTAGCTTTACTTGACCGAAGTAACACGAAGACTTGTAATGAAGGTAACTCGTAAGCAAAGCTGCCAGTAAGTATTAGGGGGAGTGAAATATTATCTGCATTTTTTTAAGAACTCAGAAAACCGCTCTCAAGAAAAGTTGATTTCTTTGAACTTGCTTGCTCTAGAGTCGATAGCTTCGTTGTGGAGCATTACTAGCGTTTGATTGAGGTGCTTCAAAGCTAATCAGAGTAAAAATGGTTCCGTGCAGAATATGAATTATGCGTCTCAGATGAGATGCAATTGATGCATTATAGTTTTGATACAAGCGTATTAGTGGTCATCTGTTCACATGTTTTTGGATGATTTTTTTGTTGGTGCCTACAATCTTACTGGATTTTACTGTTCTTGGGTTTGAATGCTTATGTATGCCTTTTTAGGAAATCAAAGAGTTATATTTCCCAATTTACTTGATCATATTGGAGTTAAAGCCAACAGTTATATTTCCTGTTGATTTGATTTGATCCAAGCTTTTCTGTTTCTTTATATACCTAAAAGAAATGTTTTTCCGTGAAAATTCTTCACTGTTTTATCGTTCTTATTCTCTGGAATGCATTAACAAGACTTCTGGTAATTACAGATAGTAATTTTGATTGTCCATGAACTAAATTCCATGGATATTGGCTTGAGAAATTGTTGTGCCTTGACATCTTTTAGTGGGATAAGAAGCTGATAATATGGAATACCTCAATTACAAATCTAGGCCAATTTGATTTCAATTGTTGAATATTTTCCTCTTATCTTGTTTCAATATGTGAATATATAAAATAAGAAATAGTAATACAAAAGATCAAACTATCTTAAAGGTAAAAGCCTAATAAATGAACAGAGAGCAAGCACTAATGAATGGATTTTTTTTATATCAAAACAGCAGGGATTCTTAATACTTGGATCATTTTGAATTTGTTCTTTGTCATGATCATGTACAGCTGGCTTGATAAATTACAAATTCAGCATGATTGATTTAAATAGTTGAATTTTTGCTAGTTATCTAGTATCAGTATGTATCTGATGTCAGAACAAGTGTCACACATTATCAAACTATCTTAAAGGTGAGAAAACTAATGAATTAGCCGATAGCTTCACTAATTCTTGGATTTATATACCAAAACAGAGTGGTTCTGACCCTTGTACTTGAAAATCCTTTTGATTTTGTTCCTCATCGTGATCATTTACTATGGGCTTGGCATAATTATGTACTGGCAGGTTGTCTTCTTGGTGCTTGACATTCATGTAAAAAATGTTGTTAATAATTATTCGCTTGAGCATGCTGGTATAGATGATCTCTTCAGCTCAATTTTTCATTGGTTGGACGTTCTCGAAGAGGAAAGAGAAGACATCGGCTCCGTACTTCGTGAAGTTTTACTGTGCATCGGTACATTACAATCATCCATATGCCAGCATATGCTTAAAGAAGAGCGGCAGGTATGGTATCGCTTACCAAAATAAAATAATACATTTTCCCATTCAGGAGCCTGATATTGTTAGTTTTCCACTTTTCTCCTTGCTTTGTAGTACCTGCCTTTTTTAACCCTTTGATTGTCATTTGTATTGGTGAGCAGTCTACCAAAATGATAGTATGCTTATATATTTTTTCTCCCTGGCTTCTGGTATCGCTGCTGTTCATTAATCGTGACGCCACTGCTCTATATTAAAATGCAATTGTGATACTACCGCCCTAAAAACCCAAGGAAACTGTTGAATGTAGTGAATCTACACCTCATCACACTCAAGCGTTAACGATACTTGCATTCTGCATTGTTGTGGAGTAGGTCGTAAATATGAGTGCACTCCCGAAATTCAACACTAATGCTGAGCTGTTAACTTTGTAAACTATCTTCTCTTACAAATACAAAGAGCTTTGATGGAGGTAACTCTTCAGCCACAAATGTCCCGTGATACATAAAATTGGATCAGGTCTGAATTGAGACATTTGATAATGAGTCTCCCTGGGAGTATTGTGACGTTTTAAATTCTGATCCGGGTTTTCACTTCAGATACATTTATCTTTCCTTCATGGTCTTTGATGCAGGTCTTTCCTTTGTTGATTGAGAAGTTCTCTTTTCGAGAACAAGCATCACTTGTGTGGCAATTTATTTGTAGTGTTCCTGTGATGGTTCTGGTAGACTTTTTGCCGTGGATGATGTCTTTCCTCACTGTCGAGGAGAAAATTGAAGTAAAAAATTGCATAAAAGAAGTTGCTCCAAATGAAGAATCTTTGCAGCAGGTACATCCTAAGCTGAGATCTGGATCTATTTTTCTGTCAGCTTCTCATTTGTAACAAACTTAAAGTATTTCTGAAGGTTATAAGCTCTTGGCTGCTTGACAATAGCCAGTCTTCCTTTGGAACTCTTACAAATATCATGAAAGGGTTCCAATTTATAAATAGATCTGAAAATATGAAGAACTCATTTCAGACGCTTCCATCCAGTGGGTTTTTTCAACGGTTTTGGCAGTGGAGTAAAACGTCCTTCTTTAGTTCAACTACTGGACACAATCCGATCCACGGTCTTCAGCTTCTGTGTAATGCAATTAAGAAAGATTTGATTAATATCCGAGAAGAATTATGCCAAATAAAAATTCCGAGTGCTTCTTTGCACCTACTGGTGGTTCGGTTAAACTTCCTTTCTGATGTCCTTATCTTTTATAGGTAAATATCTTTTGGGAACTTGATTTTTGCTTTGGTGCATATATCTTTTTTCTTCATTGCATCCTTTTGAGAAGTTGGTGACATAGTACCGTGTTTCAATTGCAGCAATGCATTAAAGAAGTTCTTTTACCCCGTGTTAAAAGAAATTGGAGTAGATCGCCCCTCTTCTGCAAAATATATCCGCACAGAAAGCTGTATCAATAATGTACAGAGATTATTGTACCAGAATGCTGAAAATAAAATGGGGACGGACAGCTTTTTGATGAAGCTTCGAGAGGGACTGGAGTCTCTCATAATGGAAATTTCTGAACAATTTACTGTACAAGAAACAGAGGTAAACTGTTTGATATTTTGGTAAAACTTGCTTGGCTTTTAAATTGATAGCAGACGTCTACTGCTTGGTGGGTGTTTGTCACTAAAACCAATAGTTATTAACTAAAACTATTTCCCTTGTTCTTTTCTGTGTTGTTTAATGCATTATATCAACAGCTCCCTCTCTTTCTTCTCCAGGTATTCCCTATCATCAGCAAGAATTGCAACCAGGAATTACAAAGACGGCTCTTATATGCAAGTCTTCATGTCTTGCCTCTCGGCTTGCTAAAGTGTGTCATAATCTGGTTTCCTGCTCATCTGTCAGACGATGAGTCCCAATCCATTATTCATTGCTTAAGCGGGGAAGATTTTTATCCCAGTGAATCATTTGCACGGCTCTTGTTGCAGTGGTTTCGAATCGGTTATTCAGGAAAAATTTCAGTTGAAAATTTTTGGAAAGAGCTGACCAAAATGTTCAAAATGAGATGCTCTGTTTGCATGGAGCACACTGGAAATGCCTCTTTATCTTTTTCGCAGCAAGCAGAACCACAAGTATTCAAGCTGCATTTTGATCCAGAGAAGGAAAACAAGTGTTTGTCCCATTTCCTGTCAATTGATCCATCAGCTGGTATTGTTTGTGAGACACCTTACTCTAGTGGAATGAATCAGATAATGCTTTTATCCGGAAAATCGAGACCTCTCCATCGGCTTCCTGATTTTTTTGGTGAGCAGAATATGGATGACCCCTTTATTATTGACCTAAAACCCATGGATATACTTTTCTTCTTCCACAAGGCAATGAAGAAAGATTTGGACTACCTTGTTTGTGGTTCAGCTCGATTGGTAGCAGATTGTCGCTTCCTTGGGGAGTTTCATCAGCGATTCCATCTCATAAAGTTTCTGTATCAGATACACTCGGATGCTGAGGATGAGGTTGCATTTCCAGCTCTAGAGGCAAAGGGACAACTCAAAAACATTAGCCAATCATACAGCATTGATCACGAGCTTGAGTTGGAGCACTTCAACAAAGTATCATTCATTTTGAATGAGATGTCTGCATTAAATATCTCAGTTTCTACTTCCAATTCAAGTATACCCGAGGACAGACAAGTGATGTATGAGCAGTTATGCCTGAGTCTCCAAGACACGTGCAAATCCATGCACAAGGTATTGTTTGAGCATGTTGAACGCGAAGAAACTGAGCTTTGGTGTTTATTCAGAGAATGCTTCTCTATTGAAGAACAGGAAAAAATCATAGCGCGCATGCTTGGAAGAATAAGTGGAGAAATATTGAAGGATATGGTTCCCTGGTTGATGGAATCTTTGACTCCTGAAGAACAGCATGCCATGATGTGTTTGTGGCGCCAAGCAACGAGGAAAACAATGTTTGCGCAGTGGCTAGCAGAATGGTACAGTGGCCATGGTATGCAAGAGGAGACAGGGGAAGCAAATAATGATCCATCCGGTAATTCTGACCCACTGGAGATTGTCCGGAAGTATCTCATAGAAGGAGCTGCTGATGAGAAAAGAGGGAGCACTTGCAGCGACCTTGTTGAATTTTCCAAGACGGATTTGATGGATACCATGAACGAGCCTTTAGGAAAGGACATTGTCAGTGACAAGGTAGTTTTTCAAAACAAAGAGGAAAATCATCATAGGGTTCCAGAAAATAAGAAGATATATAAGGGAGGTGACAAAAAGAGGCACAAGGAACAAGATGACTACAATCGCCAGATCGGAAATCCAGCTCAAATGTTTCATCTGTCTCAGAAATCTAGGCAATCTGGGCAACCCACACAGTATGAGCACCTCTTAACAATGACTCAGGAGGATCTGGAAGCTGCAATTAGAAGAATATCTCGTGACTCTTCTCTAGATCCTCAGAAGAAATCTTATATCATGCAAAACCTGCTTATGAGGTAGGTCCGGCTCCTGCAATATCTTATCATTGCCTGCTGTAACATTATCAAAGTAGGTTATTACATTCTTAGTTTCTCACTAATTCTGTTAGGAGGCGCTCTTCTTTTCTCGTACAAGGAACTTGTTTATTTGTTTATCTTTTTGTGAAAGTTATCTTCATCATAATCTTGTTTCATTTGGAAGCTAAATTTGTCATCTTTTATGCCGTGACTGACATTAGGGTACATACTTTTTCAGCCGTTGGATTGTCACAAAGCGGATACTTAATTTGGAAATGTCCGTATATTCAAACAATGGGGAGGCTATTCCAGGTCAGGAGCCATCTTACCGGGATACTCTCAAATTGGTCTTTGGTTGCAAACATTACAAGAGGAATTGCAAGCTTCTTACCCCTTGTTGCAACCAACTCTTCACATGTATACGTTGCCATGATGAAGTGGCTGATCACTCTGTGGATAGGTAGTGACATGTCTCGTGCTTGTGCTTTCGTGTTTTTGAATTTCCAGGTCAAGTAGTATTGCTGAGCCTTTGACCATCTCTGAATCTCTCGAATTCGTATGCAGGAAACAGATCTCAAAGATGCTTTGCATGAAGTGCCTGGTAATTCAGCCAATTGGTCCCAATTGCTCAAACCCTTCGTGTAATTATTTGTCCATGGGAAAGTATTACTGCAAAATCTGCAAATTATTTGATGATGAAAGGTAAAGCTCTTTCGTGAAACACATTTCCATTTCAAAGCTCAACTTAAACCAAATTCTTTATTTTTCCATTGGGAATGTGTTATGATTTGAAACTGGCGACCCCTCCTTTCTCTTCGTTTTTTTGGCTTGAATGAGCCATGATGTATAAAGAAAACGTGTCTACTGTAAAAATTATGTTGGTTCATAAGTTAATTAGAAAATGCAAATCAGGTAATCAGATATTTTAAAGCTGGTTGATGTTTTCAAATCTTAGAACTTCATTTTGCAACAAACAGATTGCATTACACTACATCAAAAAGGTATTCAAATCAAGGAGAGGTGATGCATCAAAATTTGAAAACATTCAAACTTATGTCATGCCCCTAGTTTGCAAGGTAATTTGATTGGTGCTGATGATCAACGGTTCTTGGCAGGGAAATCTATCACTGTCCCTACTGCAATCTCTGCCGTGTAGGGGAGGGA